GTTTCGTCCTTCTAGGACTCGTCAGTGATGCTAAGGGCCTACATGTATTTATTGACACTAAGTTGTATGTTGAAAGCATTTTTGCTACTAAAGAAGATTTCTACATCGACTTCATAGTAAACCTCCAGGTACAAAACAGGTTCCTCACTGGACTGGATTGATTTTCACTCCTGAGCTTTAGTTTTGTTTGTTTGTTTGTTGTTGGGAACATATGACAACAAGTCACAATTACTTTAACCCTGTAATATCATTTTATTTCAATCTGAAACATAACACTGATGTGTTGTTAATCTCGATCATAACTTCAATAATGTCAAACAAAAAACTGAATTCCCGATCTTTGATAACTACATAAACAACATTAAAAATACACAAACAATCGAAAATGTACACACGTTCGAGAGAAACTGGGCACGATTCATTCTTTAATTTTCAAGAATTTTATTTACCAGTTGAAAACATAGCACTTGGTTTTCCTCGTCGTCTTTTCGGTTTCAAAATGTTCGCCCTTATCTTATTCGCAGTGTACCTATTTTAAAATTTGTGAATTATATGTAAGTTGATCTCATAAATAAATATTCTATTGCTTTATGTACAATGAAGCTGGATGCGTTTGATGCTCGTTAGTTTGCGTGTTGGTTCCGTTGTTGTATACCTTGTTCTCATTTGAGAATGTGACATTAACTACTTGGATTGACCTATGTTTACATATTGAGAGTCGCCGATGAAGCAGAAAACGCTAGATCTTCCGGAACACCTGGTCTTATTCTCCGTCTACTTTTTCAAGAGTCTACTTGTAAATCATTCTTTTGTTCATATTTTGCCCTAGCTTTATTGAATTTTAGTTTGGATTATGATGATGATGATGATGACATGTTGATATTTTCTTGTTTTGGGGTTTTTTCTTTGGGTTGTTGTTGTTGTTGTTGTTGTTGTTGTTGTTGTTGTTGTTGTTGTTGTTGTTGTTGTTGTTGTTGTTGTTGTTGTTGTTGTTGTTGTTGTATTGAAATGTGTTATTAAGCGTTGATTCTTTTGTACGACCATAAAGCATAAAACAACATACGTGCAGCAACACATTTCCTAACAGTTCGTATTGTGTACGAGACGATGTTTACATACGCGAGGTACTATTGTGTAAGCCATACTTAAATACGTGTCACTAGAAATGCTTGATGCTGTACTCACACGGAAAAAAAATCTCCGACATCTGATCCATTGAAAATAGCGCCATCATTAACTTCCCGTGCATCATATTTAGACTTAAATCATGAAGTTAGGATGACAATCATTTACTCTGCAATCTGCGAAAGGAAATGTGATCTAACGTAATCAAGACTGGTAAACAATTCCTCATAGCGTTATTCATCCAAGTATTGTACCAATGCAGGTGTACGGATGTTAACCTCAGCTGTCAAACATCCTGTGATAGTTAGAATATTGGTCAATGTGATTTCTGTATATCCTAAATGGTCTGTCATTGTTGTTCTTACGACGCCTTTTGTTTTGAAATTTGAAATCATGTAAACTATATTTTGTACAAAACAGAAAATTGGTTCATACCTTCAACAAACCATTGCCCGTTGTACGGAAATAAAACCATGGAAACGATGAAAGAGACGTTGTACACCCTTTAAACCGTGTGTGTAAGTTTTTTTTTCAATAAAAACTCGCAAAAGCAATTGTCACATTTGGAAAGTTGTCCAGGGGGCATCGACAGAGATAACTTATGTACACAAAGAAGAAGAAAATAGATTATGGCAACAGACAGTTCTGATCATCTCGGTGTTCTATTCGTTGAGCACACTCGAGAAAATTTCCGGTTCTTCAAGGAGCTCACTTTGGTTATTGTATATATTTAGTACAGTATGCATTTGAAATGAACGATGTTATTTGAGTTATAAATTTCATTTGCTTTAGTAGACAATTTATTAAAATATTTCATCAGAATATTTATTGCCATTTCGTCTTAACTTGTAAAATAAACTTATTGTATCCATTCCAACTATTTTAGTCTCCTTGTTATTGTAGATTTCAGAATTCACCATGACAACTCAATCGAAAACATATAAACATTGAAATCTATCTCAAGGGTTATTCTGCACAAGTTGACAACTTTCTGACTGTTTTTGTTCTTTTTTAGAACTCTATTAATGACTGTTTTAACTATTCTCCGCATTCGAATATCTTTTACAGGTTCAGTTCCGACAGGTAAAATTGTTAGAAATATTCACTGCCATAATAAAACTAGACTCTCTAAATATAGCACATTGGGGAGTCATATACTTCATGCAAAGTAACATGGCCTAGCTAATGTTTGTCAATCGATTCAGCTAGATGTATATAGAATTCTTACAAATTAAATATTACATGTTTAGTTATATGGTGAATTGAGGAGTAGAATTTCTTTAGGAAAATAAACAGATAATTTGCTATTTCTTTTCTACACGCTAAGATCCTTACTAGTGCTGAACATCAAACTATTCAACATCACGTGATGGTTATATGTGTACAAGAATGAAATAGTTTCGGGCGGTTTATTAAAACACATAATAAAATAACACTGCATAATATTAAAACAATGTGTTATAGATATTGTGCCAAACATTTAAATTCCAGTTTTATTTCAGACAACCGGTCACAGACTTGTAAATAAAATATATATACATGTAATACATATATATCACAATTAGATCTCTAGTATGTTCTATAAATGTGTTTTCGGTGGTCCAAATTTTCACGAGTTTACTAAAACTTTAAATCAAAAAGAAAAAAAAATGCATTCTTCGCGGAAATCTGGATACGGAGACGTTTTTCGTGAGTGAAATCGAAACCCGCGGAAATAACTTTACAGTATATAAATTTGTTCAGCACTTATAAAGATACATTCACGAACTATGAGGTATTTCTGTGACTATACTTACTTGGATTGACCAAGATTTACACGCCAGGTATCGCCGATGAAGCAGAGGACGCTTAACTCCTTCGGAACTCCTGGTCTTATTCTTCGTGTGCTATTTCAGGAGTGTCATTGTAAATCTTTCGTTCACATTTTGCCATAGTTTTATTGAATTTTTGTTTGGTTTATGTTGACATGTCGGTATTTGCTTGCTGTTTTTGTTACCGTTAACGCAATTTATTTTGCGCAATCAAATTTTAGCGTCCTAATTTTAGCGCGAAAAGCGTTAAACTGTACCTTTACTGTAATTTCCATGTACATTTTCACGAAAATCCCTGTAAATCTTCCTTCAGTTATTATTTTGTCCTCAGATTATTGAGTTTTGGTTTGGATTATGATTCCCTTGACATATCGGTATTTTTCATTGTTGCAGAAATATGATATGATAAGTAGCTGACACGATAAAGTTTTTTTGCACATCGAGCAATACAGCATAACATTACGATTAAATATACTGTATATTTACATTACAACAATAGCGTTTTTATGTGTTGTATCAAAATATTCATTATTTAATATGTAGATCAATTATCATAATTTGATCCTAACCAGGTTGTACATGAATGATTCAAAGCTCTGACGTTTATCTATCACGTCCCTAGCGAATTTACGCCGGCAACAGATGTCTTATATCTATATAAATATATCACTTCCCAACACCAATAACCCGCAAATAAACGCATTGATTGTTGCCAAGTGACGCATATGTGTACATACAGATAAAATGAAATTTTATACAACACATTTTTTATGCCCGAGGCAATATTGAAATGCAAATAGAATCTTTTATAACTTTATGAGTATCAATTTCTTACCACGAGAATCAGATCTGTATATGTTTGAATTAACGCCACGTGAATATATTAAATATTTCAAATTTAAACAGTGAAATCATCTATTTTAGTAACTTTATTGCTGGCAAAAACAATGTTATTGATAGTACAGAAATACAAACAGCAACATGCTACTAGTAATTTATTTATTTTAAAAGCACACAAATATATTTATACCTTGAAGTAGCGCCTCCGCGACTTTTTCTTACTTGAACCTAACTTATATTACGTTTTATTGAAACAAAAACGCCGCGCTTCCCAAACAAACCAGCTCATCGCGTTCACTTTTATAGTGCGTTTCTTTTGAAAGAATATCTTAAAACGGATGTGTTCGACCAGTAGTTATTGTTACTTGTTAGAAATTTTCAATGATAAATAACTCATCGGTACATTTCGAGAAAAAGTTTTTTTAAAAAAAAACTTCAACATACACTTCACAAAACAAAATTATAGAAAATAATATCGTGGATACAAATGCCTCATTATGTTGTCGAACAGAAAATTTAATTATATAAATTCTGTCATGTAAATTTTTATCTGTCAAATGAAATGTAATATCTCAATACCAATACGTGTAAGATATTAATTGTAATCTTCCTCCATCGTTTCTGTTTTGAATAAAATGAGAAAAAAAAATAGATTTGATCTCTGTATGTACATGAACACTGTTAATGCTTAAACATAAAAGTCCTAAATTTCTATATTTTGATTTCTGATATGGCCACGAAATCAACAGCCAGATTTCGAAGCCAATAATTTTCATCAAGTACGATATATACATAAATAAATACAATCTATCATCAATGGTTTACAAATACATTTATTTTACGACTATAAATGAATTGGACTAGTAACATATTTTAAATAAAATGTCTTCTAGCATCATTACGATGTCACATCAAACATCATGGTGTCACATCGAACACTACGGTGTCACATCGCACAGCATAATGTCACTTCGAACATCTTTAAAGTGTCACATCGGACATAACGATGTCACATCGCACATTATGACAGTGTCATATTGCACAGCATTGCAATGTCACATCGAACATCGTCACGACGTCACATCGAACATAATTACGACGTCACATCGAACATCGTCACGACGTCACATCGAACATCATCGCGGTATCACATCGAACATCATCACGATGTACAACGACGATCATTTCATTTTCGTTTCATTTCATTAGCATGCACACCAATCGTTAGGACACATCTATCAAATCATCGTCGTCATCTGACGAATCCGCCGGGTCGCTTCCCTCTTCTCTTTTAGAGATTTCTGATGACAAGTCCAAAGCACTGTTGTTATCTGTGTTCACTGAAGCGTGCATGAGATCATCCTCGTCGTCCTTTGGAGGTTGGTCGAAATGAGAGTCTGTTTCCTCGTCTTTGCTGTTTAGAGCTGAATCTCGAGATCCACCGGACGACAAAAGTTCTCTTTCTTTGGAATTTCGCCATTTCATTCGTCTGTTTTGAAACCATATTTTCACCTGCAGAAATATACAAGAAAAATATATACCTTCTGATGACTAAAAGTACCATTACAAAAATGGATCAGAACAAAATCACAACAAAGACACAGATAAATATACAGTGTAACACTAAAACTATATGTGAAACCGGAGATTAAGATTTTCGATTTTAATTTTTGATATGCTATTCAAAATTAACATTTAATGTAATAGTATTATATAAGTATTATAATGGAACTTCGTTATATCGAAGTGGGCTAGACTGTCGGAAAAAGTTCTAGTTATCCGAGTATTCGATTTAACCGACTTCGAATATTTGGTGAAAAGTTTGACCGGGACCATCGAAATACTTCGAATTAAATGAAGTCTTTGAGTTATACGAGTTCGAGGTAACGAAGTTCGACTGTATATCGAGATATTTGTATTGAATTGTCAACATTAATGAAAGAACATTTACTGGTATATATAATTACTCCTAACTTTTCAACAATTTACCTAGTTATCAATTATGTTTCATCAAAGAATTTCATGTCAACATTGCCGATGTATTTTAATGACTTAAGATTATACAAAAGACACAAGTGAATAACCCCTTTTAATAATCTAGAGTTAGAGCCAAACAGTAAATTAAACTGCGTCATGTATCTGTTTCATCCTTCAAGGATGCGTCAGTGATGCTAAGGGCCTAAATTTTAAATCTTAAGAGGCAACTGAGGAAAATCGAAATTGATCATAAGAAAATTTAAAAAATCACGACATGTAGATGCAGCAGCCCCATTATTAAATTTATTTCCTTATTTTCATATAATTTTATAACTTATTATATTAACAAATCGTATTAAAAATATATAAATGGTATAGAAACACGCTTCCTTCTTCACAACACCCTCAATTTATGCTTATTTTTCCATTTGAATTATCATATAAATGTTCTGTGTTAAATGTCTCTATAGAGAAATGACGCACCTACTTTCCAAAACATTAACACCGGTAGTGAAAGCATTGTTGTTTATTTAAGATACGGCGTTTGTCCACGAATTTGATGATGTATCAAATTGTAATGATAATACAATCCTAATCGATTGCTTTCTCGTGTAGCCCAACACATTTTATAAGAAATCAAATAATACACAAGGGATGTTTTATGAAAAGGATGTTGGGTATATCATAGGAAAATGGTTGTCCTCGACACATGCTATTGAACTGTCTCTGTTTAACAGTCATATCGACGTATATATCATCACGCGAGATGAACACAGTCGGCGCGCTGATAATAGAATAGAGTCTCCATTACTTGACGATTTTCATTATCCAAGTATTTAATTTGCTTTCTTATTACTTGCTATCTCTTTTCGCACGTCAGCCACAGCTGTTAGTTGACTGAGGACGGGTTGCCCCGCAAGATATATTCGCAATTGATTTTGTTTTCCAGCCCTTACGAATTCACCGTTTGCTTAAATTGTTCTAATCAAACTCTAGCAAATGACATCTCAATGTATTAGCCCGTCTCGAGTCTCACACGAAAATGCGCCAAACTGCGAAACAATATTTGCAAGGGCATTCGATCGAAAAGAAGAATTATTCTATTTAACTAAAGGCACTTATAGGGCAATATCGAACATCTGCATTTGACACTATATTACATGGGTACCGGAGCCACGGCGCCAAAATGAGTGTTAATTAACGGTTTTGATTTCATAAACCTCTCAGATACTTTAACTGGAAGTGACATAAATGTTATTGCTTATTGTCATGGTTACATTCCATACTACCGGGGCCTCGGTGGAAAGTCTCAAAGTATGGAAATGTTACTGTAGTTTACCAAGATAGGAACCTATCATTTGAAATTCAGTGAAAAAAAAATAAGAGAAAATTTAAAATTTATCAAACCGTAATTTTCCTCATCAGCTTCACAGTCAAAATTTCTTGATAAAATTTGATCTTTATTAATATCTGATATATTGATGAAATATCTTGGCATTTTTGTCTGAATAATGAAAAAGATTTGGTTCAAGACAGAAAACGCAAAATTACTTAGTTTTTTTATTGGGTGGGGGTGTGGGTAGTCTTTGAACGGAATGCTGACTGAAATTAAAAAATATTTTTAAAGAGAAATTAAAATGTGACATTTATTTCTTATCAACTAATTACAATTTTTAAAACGTTTATAATGAGTTTGATATAGTAAACAGTTTAGTATTTGAGCTTCAATACTGGTTCAAGTTTGATTACAACTTTAGGCCTTAGGCCCTACATGTTACATATACCTTACACGACACAATGTAGAGGAGGAAGACTATTGTTACACAATTTATATAATTAGGGAATTTGCAATTTTAAGCTTCATAAATAAATTTACCTAATATTCAAAGTTCTTTAATATTGTGGATACCCAATAGTTCAACTAACTTAAAGACTGAAGTTTTTCTCCATTAATCTCTCTTAATAAAAACAGCTCGTATGGTTTTGAATTGTCCACATATTAGCAAAAAATGGACTCCACCCTCAACTTCAATAACAGAGTTACACTGTTTACAATATATGTGTGCCTTTGGAATATTTCTATGTCTTCCTGTCGATATCACAAGGGAATGACATGACGTACGGATTCTAGTCACATATATACGGTATTTCATTGGTATATATTTAATAACGTAAAACTGCAAAGAAAATGTTTGATTTAAGAGATATTTACACTAAAATTTGGTAATTTTTTTAACAAACGCTTTCAGTAAGATTTTAGAAAAACTATAGATACTGTTGTAGTAGTAACACATATTTATTTTGTTATGAAGTCCATGTTCGCCATTTATTGTGTGAAATATCAGTGTTAGTGGAACTTTCAGACTTATCTTGACCTCTAAAAATGTAAAAAAAAAGTCTGTTGTTGTTGTTGTTGTTGTTGTTGTTGTTGTTGTTGTTGTTGTTGTTGTTGTTGTTGTTGTTGTTGTTGTTGTTGTTGTTAAGAACATTGTGCTTGATTTTTTTGTGTTTTTTTGTTTGCTAGACGGAAAAAAATCTTAAAAACAATTAAAATTAGATTGATCACTTCAAATTCTTGTAATATTGGTGAGAGTACATTATATGATAGAATTACATTGATGAAATATCCCGTCTCTGATTTTAACATAGGACAAAATTGCCAGAAAAAAAAATTGTTTGAGGTCAAGCTCTTTTGGTGTCTTGGGGCGTCAACAGGCCAAGCAGGATAATTTCGTTATTCAGTATACTGTCTAACCACGGACTTTGATCTTTATCTAAATCCGTGATCCGACTTGAAGGAGTACTGATAAAAATTCTATAACATAAAATCAATCTTCGTTCCACCGTATGTGACAACTTTTAGAATATCTCGTTTTATCAATAATATTTCTGTTATTTGGCGGCGAAGTTCTATATTGATGACGTTCCGACAGCAATACCATTGAGTCCTTACCTGTGAATCCTTCAGTCCTAATTTCGCCGCTAACTTTTTCCTATCTGGCTTGCTGATATATTTCTGTTTCTGGAACATTTTTTCCAGGCCTTTCCTCTGCATGTCTGAGAAAACAGCTCGCCGTAACATCCCTCTCCTTGGCTTTCCCCGCATGTTAGTCAGAAATGAAAAGGCGTTCGGCACCGGCAGGAGAGGAGGAGCTAGGAAAATATAACGTTATAACAGAGAAACATATCTTCTCAAAATTAAACATATTATTTATAAATATTTTTAAAAAATCATAAGTTATTTAACCCTTTGTCAAAATTCGATATTTTGAGAAGTCAAAGGCAAATGCTTAACATTAAAAAATGACACAAATTTATTTTGGCTTTCGAAAACTCTCGAGTAAATAGAGAAACAACACAATGCCAACATGTCAACAGCATATTTACATAAACTCAAATTCAACGAAACACGGGCAAAATAGAAAGAACAGACAGCTTTATAATAGGTTTAATAACCATAATAAGGGATGCGGTATTCCAATACTTTAAAACAAATAATAAAAAATATGATATATAAATGTGATAAGCAGAGAATGAACAATCTACCATTGATATATATAGTCCGTTAGGGTTATGGAGTCTCGGGGACAAAATATTAACAAGCCTCGAACTTTTTCTTCTGATATTACACAGTCGCTTTATAAAATATTTTAAGTTGCGGTGAAATTCCATTTCATCATGTCTACAATTGATAAGTGATTAAATGGAGACATATTTAAATATGCTATCCTAACTTGTTTCCAGATCTTTTTGCCTTTGTTTATTTGTTTTTTGGATTGTTTTTTTTTTTTAATTTTTTTTGGGGGGGGGGGGAGGGGGTATTTTTTTGTTTTTTTTTGTTTTGTTTTTTGTTTTATGTTTTTTGGGGGGGAGGGGTTAGGAGGGCATTTTTGTATTTGTTTTCTATTATTTGTCTTTTTATTTATTTATTTATTTTGTTTTTCTATCTAGTACCTGTTTTACTCAACTTTATTACAAGTCATGATGAAAATATCCCACAAGCTGCTACATTTTGTATTTTTGTTTAAAATAAATACTACGTAAGTACATTCCGCTATTAAGATGATGTTTGTTTACCTGGGGATAAACATTAATATAACAGCATTTTCATATTATAGATATTTATAGTTTCCTTTGATAATTCTTAAATAAAGCATACAACATATTTGTGTAATGCTGTCAAGTTTTCTCTCTTTATCTACTTCCTCTGTCTATTTGTATAGTAATTATATAATTTTGTTCTTAAAATACATTAAACGCGTGGCGTTATCTGAAATATGTCTTTTTTAAAACAAAAGAATGCAAAAACGGAGATACATCTATTACGTAACAACCTATTGTTTGTGTATAAACACCAATAACTTAACTAAAATGTTTCAGTGTAAAAACATTTATAACGCAATTACCATGTTTTAATGTAATAACATCAATAACGTAATTACCATGTTTTAGTGTAAAAACATTCATTACGCAATTACCATGTTTTAGAGTAAAACATTCATTACGTAATTACCATGTTTTAATGTAATAACATCAATCACATAATTACCATGTTTTAGTGTAAAAACATTAATGTAGTCACACATATGTAATATGACCTAACAGATCTCTGAGTGGCTGAAGGTTTCCATTGCTTCAATTGTCACGTCATTGCCTCATGACGTCATATGCATTGTGAAGTCCATGTTTTGTATCAGCCTGATAAAAGGATGTTTTCGCAAACATTTACAAAAGTATTTAAGTTATATGATGAACAGAATCTTGCATTTGTTTCCTTTTCATATGAGATTTATGAAACGAATCTTGAATGTTATGTCATCGCTCCTCTGGCGAAGTAAATTGAAAAAATCCAACATGACTTTTATAAATCTCGTATGAAAAGAAACACATATGAAATTCTCTATATAATATTACTGTCAGCTTTTGAAGCATATAAAGTCAGAAGAGGAGATACCAAGTCTCGAATCAAGAACAGACACCACTCAGCAGTACGGAGATAAACGAAGATGAAGTCAACAAGTTACTTAAAGGACTCGAACCAGATAAATCTTCGGATCCAGATGTGTCCTAGGCTTATGAAGGAGACAGGAGACAAAGCTCCAATTACAAGATTATTCAGGCAATCATTAAAACAGAAAATATCCTAACAGTTTGGCGGAGTGCAAACATCAGTGTCATACACAAAAAAGGAAACCTCTCCCATGCAAGAAGCAATAGACCCTTAAGATTCACGTTAGTGGTATGTAAAACAATTGGAAATCTTATCAGATCACACATTACCAAGCACATGCTCATTAACTCCCTATATACCAATACGCAGTATGGCTTCATGTCAGGACGTTCAACAGTCTTGCAACTCTTAAATGTTTTAGAAGAATGGACAGAAACCCTTGATAATGCCCTAGGTGTGGAATGTATATACTTAGACTTTAGAAAGTCTTCGACACAGTCCCTCACCACAGACTGATGAACAAATGAAGGGCATAGGGGATCAACAGAACAGTTCTCACTTGGGTAAAAGACTTTTTGTACAACAGGCAGCAACGAGTAATCGTCATTGGACCAACATCTGATTGAGGCATGGTAACATCTGACATATCCCAAGGTTTGCTGCTAGGAATCTCTTGTTTGTTATATACATAAATGACTCGACAGAAGTTGTGGATCCAACTGTATACTTATTTGCAGACAACACAAAAATGTTCCAAGTTATTAAATCTGAAGTAAATGAGACATCTGTGCAGGAAGACCTGCTCAGCCTATCTCAGTTGAACAAGACTTGGCTGCTCACATTTAATGAAGACAAGTGGAAGTTCGGGCATATTGGAAAGCACAAAAAAGGAAATACTGCTTATGTACTTAATAACACAACCCTTGAAATCCGGTTGAAGAAGAAAAAGTTCTTGGAGTCACTTTCGACAAAGAACTTACTTTTTGACAAACATATCAGTCAAAAAGGTACAAAAGGCAACATCAATATTTGGCGTGATCAGAAGAACATTCAAGGTTATGGACTGTAGATTATTTATCCCACTTAACAAATCACTAGCAATAACGGACCTCGAATACGTCAGTGCTGTTTGGAAATCCTGCAAAATGAAACATATTGAACAACTGGAAGGTGTACAAAGGAAGGAAACAAAACAACTACCCGGAATGGAAACCCTGACAAATCCAGAAAGACTGTTGAAACTGTCGACCCTTAACTACAGGTTTACAAAACAGTGAGAGGAAAATACGACGAGGGGGCAACACAATTTGTAAGGTCTGATACCTCAGAAAGACTAGCACTAGGACAAGACTCCCCAACTAGGAGATTTGGAAATATCCCCAAAACATGCAAAAACATCACCACGAAAAAAAATCTCTTTAAGAAGAACAGCAGTATGGAACTGTTTGCCTGATCACATAGTAACTGCAAACACACTAGACAGCTTCAAAAATTAAACTGGATGGCCGCTGGAGTGGACAGGAAATAAAGCACAACCACTACGAGGGGACAATTCGTATAGCAACCGGAAGTGAAATTTATAAATATATTAATAACTCATTTGATGTCAGCGAAGAGGATCCCTAAAGGGACCTGTGCTGGAAAACATCATTAAATATGGTATAACAGCCTTATCTGATTACAATTGTCAACTTGATATGTAACATAAAGCGTTCGACATATTTATGATCTGAGTTGGCGTATAAGGTGTTATCAAAATTGCCGTTATAGAATTAGAGGCGGTGAATTAGGGAGTAACATCTGTTACTAAGACTGCGATATATCATTAAAGCCTATCATGAGTTCGTTATCGTTCATGTTTCATTTGTGGTTGCTAGTTTCTTTCCATATTTAAAGTGTCGTTTTAACCAAGTGAATGAGGATTTAAAGTCCATTGCCCTTTTTTTAAACGACTGAAGGATATTTTGCTAAACAAAATTAGATACGTCTACTTTTTTGGTTTTTAATGTTTGTCATGATAAATGCACGTGCGCATGCCATTTCAGCTGGCTTAGAATCCATCAATAGATAGGAATTGTCTGCTTTCCTAAACATCTTTAGTGCACATTGTGATATGTTAACACCTCACTCCCTCTTTCGAGCATTTCTCCATTTCTCGCGTTCTGCTACAGTGAGCACCTAATTTCATCTATTGATTATTTTTCTTGAATTACCCGATATCTAAAGCTAGTTCATAGTTCAAAAGTTGAACTTTTTTTTTATAAACATGTAAAACATCTCTCTTCTTCATTTAAAATATTAGGATGTGCTGACATCAGGATTCCCAGAAAGATTAAGAGTAATTTATTGCCAATATATGAATGTGTAATTTTAATTGCATTTCTAATTTTATATGTACATGTAATTTTAAATGCATGTGTAATTTTAAATGCATTTGTAATTTTACATGTGTGTGTTTGTGTAATTTTAAATGCATGTGAAATTTTAATTTTACATGTGTGTGTCTGTGTAGTTTTAAATATATGTGTAAGTTTACATATATGCGTAATTTTAAATGTATGTGTACATGTAATTTACATGTATTTCTGAAACAAACTAATAGTAAATTTCTACACTTTTTTTGGTTCGATGTAATATGTTTATATATATATTGCTTTTGATCTTGTAATGCACTAAAACATACCTATGTGATTTTAATGGTGGCACATAATTTGTCCAAAAATGTGGCACCATCGTAAATCACAATGATACAAGTACCTCGACAACCTACTCCTTGGAGAAAGTATAGTAACTTATCATATCCTTCAGAATTTAGGTTTACTTGCCAATTTTTCTGAACCTGAAAATGGTTTGTATTGCACAGTGTATAATCAATGGAGGACGTTCATGATACTTTTAAAACGCTCAGCTGATATCAGAAAAACAGTAACCATTGGCATAGAATTAAATATATGCGAACATTTTAACTAATACATTTGTGCGGGTGTGGACGGGGAAACAGGATGGAATTTATAATAACGAATTCTAAACAATGTCATGGTAATCAATCAACTTTGTGTTTATTTTTTGTTGTTTTTTTCATTATTAATTTTTTTTTTTTTTGCTCTGTTTCGTTTTTTCCTTTGTTTGGGTTTTGTTTGTTTGTTTGTTTTTTGTTCTTGTTGACTTATGGGTTTTTTTTTATTTAGAAGTTAATACACTGGTGCTGTTGACTGTGTATAAGACCTGTAGTAAAAATAAGACAAGCTATTGCACTTTACACTTTACACTGCTCATAACGCAGATTTCCATTACGTATTTGATAAGTGTTACACGAATTTCGACATGATATTCGGATGTCCACAGCTTGTTGTCACCAGCTTTTTGTATGTTTGTAGGGAATCTGCCAATAGCTTTCATTTTGTCATGCCAGCTTTCATGTAATTCATTTGTTTAAGCAGGGACGAATAAAAAGGCCTTAAATTTTTAAGATCATTTTATTTTTATCTGGATTTACAAAATATCTTAACAAACACTTGTGAAGTGCTTTTGCAGTACATCGTGAAATGTTCTGCCTGTGAAATGCGGTGATTCACGAAGACCTCGGTTACCCTGAAATAATATACAAGTGGTCACCAAGGTCTCTTAAGGCAAAACACGTGTACATGTGGGCGTGGCAACCATAAGCTTTACAAGACAGGAAGACACACCCCCTGTTTGAAGTTTTACAAGTCCGGCGCGTGATTACAGAGACCGTTAGTGGAGGGAAGACTAGAACGAATAATTTGCATGAATAAATGAGTAACGGAGATAGGTAAAAGGCGATAAATAAACATATATAAATGTAAATAAGCCATATAGACTTATGTATAACGAATGAGTCCTAATCCGGATCATCGTAAAACATTTTAATGTACACTTGTGGAAATCAGCAGTGATTAAATGTCGGGACAAGTCTTAAATGGTTAACACCTTCAACACGATTTTTAAATAGTCCGTCCCCATTCTGCGTCTGTCTCAGCATATATAGATATCACAGTTTCTGAATGATCAAAACACTTCCAAAACAGTCAAATAATTTAAAACGATGAAAGGGCTAACAAGTTTACGCAGATTCCCTCCATTACTTAAAATATCATTAAGTGTACAAACGATTCCTAATCACTTTTTTAAGCACGTGCATGAGAAGATATTTGTAATTAAATGTTATCAAGGACCGAATAAAATCAATATATCTAATTTGTAATGGAAATTCATGAATTTCACTTCATGTAAATTACAAAAAAAGGTACTGGTAGACTGAAGCTTGTCTACTGTTACAGTCTGGTACAACTACTGACTACACAAAGTCTCTCTACTGATACAGCCCGGTACAACGCAAAGTCTCTCTACTGATACAGCACGGTACAACACAAAGTCTCTCTACTGATACAGCCCGGTACAACTACTGACTACACAAAGTCTCTCTACTGATACAGTCTCTCTACTGATACAGCCCGGTACAACTACTGACTACACAAAGTCTCTCTACTGATATAGCCCGGTACAACTACTGACTACACAAAGTCTCTCTACTGATACAGCCCGGTACAACACAAAGTCTCTCTACTGATACAGCCCGGTACAACACAAAGCCTCTCTACTGATACAGCCCGTATCAGCCCGGTACAACACAAAGTCTCTCTACTGATACAGCCCGGTACAACAAAGTCTCTCTACTGATACAGCCCGGTACAACAAAAAGTCTCTCTACTGATACAGTCCGGTACAACACAAAGTCTCTCTACTGATACAGTCCGGTACAACACAAAGTCTCTCTACTGATACAGCCCGGTACAACACAAAGTCTCTCTACTGATACAGCCCGGTACAACACAAAGTCTCTCTACTGATACAGCCCTGTAAAAATACTGACTACACAAAGTCTCTCTACTGATACAGTCTGGTACAACTACTGACTACACAAAGTCTCTCTACTGATACAGCACGGTACAACACAAAGTCTCTCTACTGATACAGCCCGGTACAACACAAAGTCTCTCTACTGATACAGCACGGTACAACACAAAGTCTCTCTACTGATACAGCCCTGTAAAAATACTGACTACACAAAGTCTCTCTACTGTAAATATTTTTCTTCCATTGTATTTTGTTTTCTTTTGTGTTTTACAAATGTCTTTAAGTTTACCTCTCTTGGAAAAAAGCAAAAGGGCGACAACTCGTTCTCATTACAAAGCTCCTTATTAACTTTCTCGTGTACTTATCCCTCGAAAGTACGATGTAGATTGCAACATTTGGCCAACTTCACCGATAATTTAAAAATTTCACCCGGAAAACAAATTGGATTTTAATGTCGAATAACTGACATGTTTGTTAAAAACCTCTACCGTACTGTTAAAACAACCTCGTCGTCGTCAGGACTAACACATCAATAGATTTGAATCAAATATGCAGTAAGATGTTACCTGGTATTTAACATAATCAAATATACCTTCAACGAAATAAACTATCGAGTCAAGGCTATGAATTAATTATGCGATTTTTAATAATTGTTTGTTACCGGCGGATGCATTTATTGAATTTTCCATTTAAACGCAATTAGAGATAAATCACAGGATAGTTTTTTATGTGAACAGCTGTTGGCTAGTAGGGGAAACAACTCTACATCTTTTCTTTATTTTTATTAATTTTTTCCCTTCTTATTATGATAATTGATTTAAAAAGAAAATTTGAGAGAATGCCGTCTGATTTTTTCTCTCTTTTTTTTTTTTTTTTTTTTGATGTTTGTGGAATTCAGCATTGACATTATTTTAAAAATAAAAGATCGTTTTTGCTTTCACGCTTTTCAATGAGTCACTTTGGCTATTATTTAATCAATAAGTTTAGAAGTTACCTCATTTCCTGTTAACAGTGTTGGTCCCATAACGCCATTCTTATTTCGATCTCCCAGAGTTACTTCCCTTCCTTTCATTCTATGAATGACCATCTCCCCCCCCCCTCCCCCTCCCCATTTCCCAGCCCCTATCGGGTGTCAAGTTTATCGCTATACCACTAACAGAGCGAAATAAAGGAAGTAACACACTGCACGTATGATTGATTTCAAAAAGACTAGATTTCAAATACTTTTAATCGTTGCTATTTCTGATATAATCCTTTATTTTTTGTATAATTGTTTTTAAAAATGTAATAATATCACGATCACATTAACCCTAGGAAAGCAATTTAAAAGATGAGAGAATAAAAAAAATGCTCTCACATTTTAGCTCTCATTTGGATATGTACAGAAAAATATTTGCTTAAATGTTTGTATATCAAAAATAAACCAAATTCTTTTGAAATTATCAGGGTTTGTGAATGAATTCAATATCTGATTTTTTTAAAATTCTATAGTCATAACAATTTGATATCACGTTTTATTCAAAATGAATATTTTCAGTTTAACAAAACGCATGGTATGCATTCCTTTATCACGTCACAACATAGTTATGTAATGAATATTTTAGTCAGGAATTGAAAATCACATGCGATGTACGAGATAGCGGAGGACGATTCCACATAAATACCTACCGGCTTAATAAGTTGGAAAAACTTGTGCCCAATCCAATTGTACAAAGTTTTGCAATAAAATAATTATTAAATCAAATCATAAATACCTACATTTCACTTACACGTGTTCATTTACGGTCCCTTCAAAAAATCCATCTGCATTCGATTACATTTCAATCACAACAAGATACGGTTACGATAAAAAGGACATATACATATATATACATATATATATATTCTGAAACTTTTTTATTCAAACATACAATTATTTGTATTGAATAAATACATTGGGTCGGACACAAATTTCCCGCTTTATATCAAGCTATTTTTAGAACATTTGTTACTTCAATGATTAGAGGTTCAGAATACTTTTTCAGATAAAGCCGACATTTTTTCAAAAAAAGGAAAAAGAAACATTTGGTGAACTTATTTTATCATTCAAAGTGCGTTTTTATTATCATTATATCTGAATGACAATTTCAAAAGCTTTGTGTGTTGTGACGTCACAGCTCCCCTCGCGTTAGAATATAACGAACTAATTCACGACGAGGATACTATTGAAGCCGGATACTGGTATAACATCGTCGTGTTAATTAAACCTTGAACACTTAACAAATATGTATATCAGAGGCAGCATAGAAGATAATTATTTCACACATATAAAAAGATGATAATAATGAGACAAGAAAGAGTTTGTGATACATGCAACACCTGGCAAGTAAAAAATAAAGAGGGCACCTTTTTATAAGTCCTTGTTTACTCACGCTTTATTTGCGTGGCCTCCACACCTCCCTCTTCCCCACGCCCCCCTCTTTACCCACAGCATTGCATTAAATAGGTCTTTACTTGAGAATCGTTCAACAATACTAAGATGCAGTGTTATCTGTTTAACTCACCAGCGAGGTAGGGATGGCGAAGAAAACCGGAAAAGTGATTGTCATATACGGACGGGTGACGGACGGAACATCCTTGGCAGCCGAAATGTTGACCGCCATACCCCGAACTTTTCACGCACGTTGTAGGGGGCGTGGAGGAGGCAGATCCAGGATTGCTTACCATTCCCGGGGTCAACGGCGTCTTGTCACCTGTCAAATGAAAACGAAATAAAGACTTTTAAATTCATACAGCGCACCTGACAACTTCATTTTATTGTTAATACAGAATCTGGGATATCGATATCAAAAATGTATGCACATATTGAAATAAAAAAAAATTCTGCTCAACTACCGTATCAAGCAAAAAACATTTGATTTATCGTAAAAGAGACACTATAACTCACGACAGCGGCTGATAGGTTTGGTGTTTTGTGTTCCGTCAGACATATAGAGGACATTATGAAAAAAAATGATATTCAGAAGGAGGTTCTTTGATGGTTTTTCATTAGGTGTGAATTATATTAAGAGATTTTGAATGCAGAGTTTAAAAAAACTGATTTCACAAAGAAGCCATTTGTATCATATGTTCTGATTATATAATAGTGTTCGTCAGGAATAACATGTACAAAACCCCATCACGTCAGTATTTATACGCTCGAAATCGCACGATTTCCGCGTTTTTATCAATATCTAAGCCCATGGTGGTTTTAGTATTGAATTCATTAGAATCAACCCAAGATCGTTTAAAAAACAAAAACAAAAACAAAAACAAAAACAAAAAAAAAAAAAATAAAAAACCTATAAAAAAAAAATTTAATCAATATTTTTGCTGTTGAAGTATCTATACGAGTAAATTACATTTGGATTTGTTGTGACGCTACAAAAATGATTTTAAAATTGACAAAACAAAAATAAACAAAAAGAAAACAACAACAAAACCTTTTTTTTTTTTTTTTTTGAAAAAAACCTATACGTGTTGAAACATTAACATCATGAATTTAAACAGAAAATTTAATTAAATTTATCAATGTTAAGCGTCATTATCTTATTTCTTGAAACATATTTCAAAAAAGACCCTTACCATAGTGAAGATTAGTGTAAATATATCCCATTACATCACTATTGTAACTACATAACGATATGTTCGTCGCTGAGAAAATGTCAAGAATATTAGTGACCGTGAGTTTATTTGCCAGTGGTACAGGGACTCTTCAAACCTAATTAGTTTCGTCTAGGACTTTCTCGGACAATAAGGTATCTTTTTTTTCGCGTTACAATGTTTGATATGTGGAAAAGTACGGGATTTAATCCACTTCGTGTAACCTGTAAATCTTTGACGAGTCTCAAATATTTTCTTTTCTCATTTCGTTGGTAACTCTTTAAAAATTTAGGTTTATACCTCGCTAACCTACAATTTCGACCTTAAGCATCACTGATGAATCCCAGTATGTGGAAATAACTGTATGACGAAGTTCATTCATTTGTGAGACTTTTTTTATCTCCTCATTTTTTAGTCTTTATACATGGAACTCGAACGTTATTGTGTTGATAACTCATTAAAGTGTTGATAATCCATTAACGATAAGTGTTGATAACTCATTAAAGTGTTGATAATCCATTAACGATATGTGTTAATAACTCATTAAAGAGTTGATAATACATGAACGATAATTGTTGAAAATTCATTAAAGTGTTGATAATACATTAACGATATGTGTTGATAACTCATTAAAGTGTTGATAATCCATCAACGATATTTGTTGACAACACATTAAAATGTTATAACACATTAACACGTGTATCAATGATTCATACACTACATGTGTTAAAAACCTGTTCACACGATAGATGCTGTAACTACTGTTGAGTGCTAACATATTTGGTTTCGTGGTCAGTTTCTGAACAGCTATCTAACTACAATGTGATGAACCAAATGACCATTAATTAAACAATTCTAGAGTTCGATTCTTAATCAATAAACATTTATTTCTTGTACTTTATTAATACAGTGTAGCGTTCTTTCTATATGACATAACAATTGAAAATACGATAACAATTACGTGCCATCAAAATTGATAAAAGTACATCACTAAAATGATTAAATTGTCTACTGATTAAAAAATGATTGACTTACTTAATTTTGTCGTTTGTTCTCCTCCAGCACCGAGTATAGCGTTTACTCCGAACTTCAGATAGGGTGTCGGATTTTGGCTACTGATTGAGGACGGTACGATGTGTTCATCCTGGCTTTGTCCTGTCCCGGGATGGGAAACTATCCCTGCACTTCCCGGCCCATTTCGTGATAATAGGGCATGTCCTCTGTCTCTTAAAAGGTTCTCCACAAGAAAAGAAGCTGACGCAGCGGTAGCGTTAGGCTGTCCTGCTAAATGTGCCGTCCGGAAAAAAGTATGGTACAGAGGAGATGGCGAAATCATGTTGGGAAACATCTTTTAGGAATATATTCAAACGTCTGTGACAGTTCAACTATTATCCTAGCACAGCTTTGGATTCTTGGAAGATGTGCTAAATACCTATATCACTTCTCTATTTCATAGTATTTGTTTTCGGTTAAAATAATAATAATAATATGAATATTCCGTATATATATATATATATCAGTTACTATGTCCGGCGAGTTTGGTGAATTTCAGTCCAGATGTTGTATAAGATGTTATAAGCAATAGATCCATGGCTTGATAACCCAGATTCAAACGCTAAACATGCTGTAAAAATATCAATCTTATCTCATCAAAATCACCATCAGCTCTCCTTAAGGAAATTATTGAAAGTGTTGGCTTTAAGAACACGAGACACAATTATAACCGATCATGAATATAATACCTATCTGTCTGTCCTTTCACGGCAGTATATTCCGTATTGGAAATAACACGATAAAAGGATACGTCACATGACTAAATTAGCCAATTGAATATCAATAAATGGGCAAAGGGATTAGAAAAGAAATCGATAGTCACGGTGCAGCGGCTAGATAGCTGTCAATTACTGATTGCTTGCGAAAGCTCTCTGCCCGCCCTCAAATAGACCCCGCCCACAATATGTGAAAGACACGCCTACTTTCCCCCTTAACTCAAGCTGGTGTTGATGTATGTGACAGAGCGACCGCGTTAAGCTCTAATTGGGATTTCAAACGCTCTATGATCGATGATCGATGATCGTTAAGAGGATAATGGAGGTTTAAATGCAACTAATCAGAATACGGAGAGGTTAAATGACAACAAACACACAAACAATCAGACTTACACTAAACTTGTTACGATCTGACTATGAACGGCGAAAATGCAATTTTACATTATATATATAACTAATTAATTAGATTGACTAGATATCTCATTGTAGGGTTTCACAGTGGTCTGTTAAGTACTGTGAAGTAGTTCACAGATTTCTTGATAAGGAAAAAGTTACAAATCTATTTAGTTCGATCTTGATTAAATGCCCAAGATTGTGTAAATTGTAAGTAGGTAGTTAGAGTTATATACTGAAAATGTATCTTTACACGTGAATACGGAGCTCGAGCCCCCCCCCCCCCTCTCTCTCCCCATATCTCTCTCTCTCTCTCTCTCTCTCTCTCTCTCTCTCTCTCTCTCTCTCTCTCTCTCTCTCTCTCTCTCTCTCTCTCTCTCTCTCTCAATGTCAAGGTTTCCTGTATAAAATTGTAGTTAAGCCATCTTATGCCATATATATGCGTGTATTCATATAAATAGATAATTGCGTTTATAATATTCTGGTAACTTGTGTTAAATCCCTTTTGCTTATTTTGGCAATGAATTATGTTTGAAGTAACATATATTGACTATATATATAACAAAACGGCTATATTAGAAAAAAGAACATATTCAAAGATCCCGACAGCTATTATCCGGGTCCACTGTTTAATTCATGTTTACTTAAGTATTGCCCTTTCGTTAAAATTAATATCATTGTTTTTAAACAAAAGAATTGGTAGCAATTTACTTCAGCTCATCAAGTCCTATCCTTAATGACTAATTAAGGTAACGATTTTCTTAATCTAGATCACGTGGAAACAATAATATATGCTAATGTTTTTTGGGTTTTTTTTTAAGAACTGGAAATGAAGCAGTGAACATATATTTTTGTTGAGTTAAAACCAGAAACGTATAAATACGTCCTTTGGTAAAATTAGAGAATGTCTTTTTTAAAGTTATTGATAATATATCGCATTGGTTAAACTATAAGTAAGTTTTTTCATGAATATAAAAGTTATATGCATAGTGTCTATCTAATGTCAAAACTCTGACACACTATGGGAAACTGAACCTGTTGGCATGTCACACTGTTAGTCGATACCTCACACACCCTCCATCAATTCCTTATCTCAATATTACCTTACGTCTTTGTCCTATCTCATTAAATCTACTTCTCGCAACAATGATAAGTACTTGTGTAACCAATAAAGTATAATCTGTATTTGGATGTGTGTTGACGCTGTCACACTGTGGAATATGTTATCATAACTTGTGTCCAATCCTCTTCCTTATCTCAGAAATTAGAAACTATTAAAATGTTTGAATTTGATTTTAAAAATAAATCTGAAAGCCTGAGATATTTACTGAAAAACCAAACGAAAGGCAATATATTTTTCGAAGTCTCAATATATCGAGGTATTTTTTATTTGCTATTCCCTTGAACTTCGAAATATCGAAGTTTGACAGCATACTGAAAGATTTTAGTAGCTATACTATTACTATGGTGGTTATGTTACCGGTATACCTATGGATGTCGTTAATCCTGTAACTGTTTAAACTCTGAAATAACAAAGGTAGAAAGAGCTACAAGAATTCATCAGGACACCGAAAAACAAGACATGCTCCTATAATTAAATCCAAAATTAGCATATCAAATATACTTCCACAGAAATGAGCGACATATATGTCGAAGTGTTTGATTTTATTTTGGATTTTTTCCAGCTAAATGACTTGTCGTCTATATTGTTCTGATGGGTTTTTTAAATACAGGTTCGCCAATTGAGATAAAAAAAAAGCTAAAGGCCAATTAGTGACCACGGTTATCTATTTTGGAAAGATGTTAACATTTTTATACTTCATTTTCTTAGCCAATTCGAAAGAGACGATGAAAAGTATTTGTGTGCGTGTGTGTGTGTGTGTGCGTGTGTGTGTATGTGTGTGTGTGAGGGTGTGTGTGTGTGTGTGTGTGTGTGTTCACTGATTTTGAGAAAATTTTTGAATGTGACGTAGAGGATTGTGAAATAAAATGTTGATATCTGGAATTAGAAGAAAAATATTTACATTTTTTATACATGTATCATGGTATTAGGTCAAATATATCTTTTAAGTGTGAATTTCCTAGTTAAATATTGTAGAGAGTGGAATTTTTCTTTCTTTCTTTCTTTCTTTCTTCCTCTTTCTTTCTGTCTTCCTCTTTCTTTCTGTCTTTCTCTTTCTTTCTCTTTCTTTCTTTCTTTTGTTTTTTCTTTCTTTCTTTCTTTAAACATGAAGAGATAGAGATACGGAGCAGCTCAACCTGTATGTACAAAATTTAGTCACATTAATTTAAAACCAAAAAAAAAACACAATATTTTTTTAAAAAGCTAGAAAACTACGATGTCATAAGGAAATCTAGCAAACAACCTGCCAGGCCATTGTATGTTTTATTCGTTAGAAGTATGGAACCAATATTGCTGAAGACAGAAAGTAGAAAGAACAGTACATTCTATAAAACTCTTTCATATGTCGGGATGTAGGATACAGCTATTCCACCCGAGTGGTCACAAAATGTCGTAAAACCCGAGGTTTTGCCGAGATTTTCACCACATTACCTCGATTCTGAAAGAACAAAATCGATTAAACTAAATAGGAAATTTGATTATCACTATACCTATAGTGTGGGCGATAGTGGGTCTGTGTGGTCACAGCAAAACACCTTACCTGTGAACAAGATCTGTGACAGCGCGTTGTTAGTATCTCGGAACGCCGATATTGTATATTTAGGCTTTTAGAAAGGTGTTGTGTGAAGCACAGGTAAATCTCAGGTAACAATGCAGGTGAAAAAATGCACCCTTAATATGAAAGAATATATAAGTGACTTGCCATTGTTTTCTGAAATAACACCTTCCTATTGTCTAGGGGGAAAATACTGGCGCTCAGGGAACACCCGTTTCGCGGTAGGGAGAGGTTCGGTTTTCTGACGAGGTGCCATAATAATGTACCTAGTTTTATCAAGAAATGCATTTATTTATGTTGTCTATTGTTATTTACTTAAAATCTGTATTTGACAGGTGATAAATCGAGACTGTCAACAAGTCATGTATTTTGCCCATCCTACCGTCAATATTACAATTTAAGTAGAAGAAACAACACATGTCATTCTGTTTTTACGTCACTATGATAGTTTACAACATGTAATTGCAAACTGGTATGGAAAATTGACATCATGAACTTTATATTCATGTATATAAGCTTGCAACCCCCTCCCCTACTACAAAACATAAATAATGATTGATAAATGAAAAAATAAAAAATTAAAAAATTAAAAAAAACAAGAGCCAAAACAAAACAATAAAGAGCACAAATAAAACGAAACCAAAAAATAAAAAAATAATAATTAAAAAAAAAATAAACCCACAAAATACATAAAAGGCACTTTTGATATAGGATATTAGGATATGTTGATATTACGAACACTCATTGTAACAAATAACTCCACCTGTGTATGTCAGCATGGTGCTGTACCATGACAGAGTACACCACTCACAGTTTTCTAACACAAGTATTGTAGTATCAGATGTACGCTAAACACGCTTTCACAAGACAATAAAATGATATCTGTACCGTTATCAACAGACTGCGTACTGTTACGTTATAGTATTACTCATCCTGTGAATTCTGATAGAGATTGGTGTATTGATGTCATAATAATATATAGCAACAATAAGATATAGATATAGGGTCACTCTATATAGATATAACACTGTATAGATATATGGTTACTCTGTATAGATAAATGGTTACTCTGTATAGATATATGGTTACTCTGTATAGATAAATGGTTACTCTATATAGATATGTGGTTACTCTGTATAGATATAACTCTGTATAGATACTTGGTTATTCTGTATAGATATATGGTTACTCTGTATAGATATATGGTTACTCTGTATAGATATAACTCTCTATAGATAAATGGTTACTCTATATAGATATGTGGTTACTACTGTATAGATATAACTCTCTATAGATAAATGGTTACTCTATATAGATATATATGGGTTACTCTGTATAGATATAACTCTCTATAGATAAATGGTTACTCTATATAGATATGTGGTTACTCTGTATAGATATAACTCTCTATAGATAAATGGTTACTCTATATAGATATGTGGTTACTCTGTATAGATATAACTCTCTATAGATAAATGGTTACTCTATATAGATATAGGGTTACTCTG